AAAGCTTGCCCACCCCCCCCCCCCCCCCAAAGCTATCTTTATTTCAGCCTAAGAAAAGAGCCCCATCTCTCGTGAAGACTGGCTGGAAATGTTTACTCATTTTCTCACCCTCTCCAGCTCTCATTCCCTGAAAAAGCCACATTTGACTTGGCAGCTCACTGGACAGAGCCAAGGAGACCGATGTTCTTCCCCAGCCAGAGTCAGGGCACAGGAGCTGGAGGCAGGCGCCCGCAAAATGACCGAGGCAGGCTCGGCGCAGAGGCCGCAGAGCCAAACGCTTTTGGTGGAAGCTGACCGCCGCCTGCCGGGCCCTGCCAAGCCGTTGTCTCCTCTTACCTTAACAAACTGGAGATCAGAGAGGGCTCGCACCGAGTAGTCAGGGATGTAGACTTGGAGGAATGAAGAGCTGAGCTGATTGTTGCTGCTCCCCAACGTCGGCGTTATCGCATCGATCCGGTCACTGCGACTGAGAGAGTCCGAGTGATTCAAGCCGCATGGGCGAGGAGGTGACTTGTTTTCACCTGGAAAAGGAGAAGAAACCCAACTGCCTTTTAAGTGAGGTAGATGCAACTCAAAGCTCTTTATTTTCCCAATAATAATGAATAGACAAGCTCAATCAACTTATGCCAGATGCCTCGGCCATGCAGCTCAGCTGCAGGGTCTCCTACAGCACGCTCACGGCTTCTCCTGCAACACGTTCCCGGCCCCCGTCCATGCCAACAGACCCAATCCTCCGAGTATCCAATAGCAAAGACCCCATGGCTGCACACTGTGTCAGGATCACAGGCCAGGGAGGCGAGGTCCGAGACACAGAAGCTACTTGATACGAAACGTGGGCTGTAGGAAGGCAGCACTGCATTATTTTTCCAGAAGCAAAAACAAAGGACTCTTGAACGTTCATAAATGAGTACATGTTTTTAAAGGGATCAAAACGCTTCTGTCTGCTCATACCATACCTGGCAGCCAAACCTGTTATCTTTGCCTCTGACCCCAGTAAAATCCCTGTCAGGCAGCCCGAGGACATCTCAGGATTGTTAAGAACCCTGGAAGACACCAAACCCTGAGACGGTTTGATTAGGTCACCTTAGGTGCTGGGGGAGTCTTCAATGAGATCGACAGTACTCTTTCATTAAAACAAAGTGAAAGGAAATCCAGGTGAGTCTAAGTGTTGCTGCTTTTAGAGGCATGTTCACCATAGCTTCTAATAAATTTCATTAAAAATAAAACCCACACCCTCAGCAGGGCTTCTTCCATTTTTGCTTTTCTAGTCAAACCTATTGCACAAATATCAACTGGGTGCCCACGCTGAATTGCACAATGTCACGCGATTGAAGGGGACCAATCCTCCCACCTGATGGTTAGCTCCTCTTTGCAATGTGTCCCTGACTGGCTCTCAGCTGGTCCCACCCTTCAACTGTCGCAAAGTCTGTCATCACACCCATCAAAATCTGCTTCCCGGGCTTCCCTGGTGGCGCAGTGCTTGAGAGTCCGCCTGCCGATGCAGGAGAAGCGGGTTCGTGCCCCGTTTCGGGAAGATTCCACATGCCGCGGAGCGGCTGGGCCCGTGAGCCATGGCCACTGAGCCTGCGCGTCCGGAGCCTGTGCTCCGCAAATGGGAGAGGCCACAACAGTGAGAGGCCCGCATAACGCAAGGAAAAAAAAAAAAAAAAAAAAAATCTGCTTCCCCAACTTCACTCGCCCCCACTCTGTGGGGCTCTGAGTGCCTTCCATTCCTCTGCTACTTGGAATAGCCCTTAGTCTGAAGACAGCTAAGTCTCTTCCACTCCGGGCTAAATGATTCAACTGTTCACCTCACATGTTTCATCCCCCCGCCCCGCTTACCCCATCCTGACCATTGTCTGAGAGTCCATTCAGCAAATGTCCCTCTTTTCTTTTTTTTTTTAGGCCACGCCGTGCGGCATGCGGGATCTTAGTTCCCCAACCAGGGATCAAACCCGTACCTCTTGCATTGGGAGTGCAGCGTCTTAACCACTGGACCTCCAAGGAAGTCCCAGCAAAGTCCCTCTTAAAATATGACATGCAGAACAGAACATGGCAAGTACTCAAGGAACCTCATATGGCGAGTCCCCTCTCTCCTAAAATTTTCA